TCTCCGACTCATAGATGAAACTTTCTTATACTTATTTCTAAAGAAACTATTTAACAATCTTTTAGCAATGATTCAAATGTACAATATATTTATAAAAAAAATAAAATGTTAGATTCAATCAAGTATAATTTTCAAGTCAAATAAATAACTATGTAGCTTTCGAAATACCCATTAAACTTGGATTGATTTGAATGTGTATTAATTAAAACTTTCATTTTGGGAAAAAAGAAAGTGTATTCAGATGAAATAATTTTAATAATAAACTAATACTAATCACAATTCACCGTATTGCACCAAATATCATAAATAATAAGAACAAATCATAATTCTGTTAAGCGCGTGTAATAGCTCCTCGTGCAGCACCTCGGCCACATTAGCTGTTTACATTACGATAAAATACGAGCGTGTGTACACTCCACGTATCAGCGAGTAACGTATGAATGCGCGATTAAGAGGGAACCATTTTCTTTGTGAGCGGCTAAACAATTTCCTTGGTTCTTCGAGATTACATCGTGCGCATGTCATCCAACGTGTCTAATTAACTGCCTCGTGTTACCACTCGACTCATTAATTTAACGTCTCATTAATTCAAGTGGCAGAAAAAAGCGCGATGTAGATCTCTATTAATTTCTTATTATTTTATTAAAGTATATAAATAATACTATTGTTTTTAATGTTTAAGTTTTTAATGTTTAATGTTTTTATCGTTTAATTATATAATAATAATAATAATAATATTGTATATTTTTACGCGGTAAATTCTTATATTTTGAATTCGTATTCATATCGATAAACACGTGGAAATATGATCTGAGAGGTCGTGTTGCACATCGTCAGATTTCTAAGCGCCGGCTTAGCTGGATTATGCATAATGTCACCATCGAGAGTGAAGTTGAACGATCCTGAGTCGACAGTGTCGCGGTGCGTCTCTCCTTTTTTACGATAATCAAGATTGACGGCGTCGAACCGATCGCCTCGCGATGATACCTAACGTCGAATCTCTGCTTAGCGCTTATTTTCGGTGTGTTATTTTCGTGGCCACTCAAGCCGTTAAATCCCCATCGCCCTAAATGCAGCGCATAATGGCAAACCTGTCGCGCGATGATGCACCGCGACGATCTTCGGTGCTTGCTGCTCGATCAACCAAAATATAAAAAAAAGAACACTTGTTAAAAACGTCTTTGTAAGTCGTATTGACTAATGTGATAATAAAACAACTGAAGAAGTTATGATATATCTGTGTTTATTTAAACGCGAGTATTTAACGCAAAGTTTTCAGTAAGAAATTTAAATTAAAATTTCTTTTTTATTGCATTCTAATTTTAGTGTTGTTGTACTTTGATCTGAAGCAAAATACAAATCTTTCGTAAAACATAAAACGTAATGTTATTTTACACTGTTGCATATCTCAGTCAAGTCAAAATATATGATTTTCTAGTGTGCAATATAGTTGTGCTATGCAACTTCCACGAATATCACAAAGATTTTAACGCGATTTTTCAAACATGGACTTTATTATTTATTTTCCTTCTGTACATTAATAAATTGTAAACTACAAATATTTAAGCGTCTAATATATAGAATCTTTCGACCAAAAGATTTGTCGACCTTCTATATCTTCTCGATATTGGTCAAGTAAATTCGATCCATCTCTGAATTCGAGAAATTTCATAAGCTATTCGACGAAACGGATATATAGGAAATAAAGACGTCGTCACAGTTTGGAAGCAACCACATTGAAGACACGCGAGGGTCGGCGTAAACTTCTGGCGCCATGTTTCCGTAATAATGAAGACGAATAGCCATCACATAAACATGTTAAATACGTTCAAAGAGGTGAAAACTGCAATGTTACGGTCGGTCATAAAAATAAAACGGTACTTCCGCAAAAATTTTATTATCTTATGAACATTTCGAAAAAATTTCATTTATCATATTTTATCGATCTCTCTGCGCATGTATGTATTTATTTTCTAATTTTTACATTGCGTTCTAACGTCACGTGAAAAAAATTATTATTATCTTTTAACTTGAACGTAAGATTTGTAACTACATCAGAGAAACAAAGAACTTGTAGTTTAAAAAAAAATGTTTATCGTGGAAAGAAGCGAGAAAGAGAAGTTTCTACGAGAAAAATAAAAACATACCGCTCTTGAGAAAGAAGAGTATTTATAGAATTTATAAAATTTACGATCGTTTGAAAAAAGAATACATAGCGACTAAGATTCCCGCGAGATTCGATTTCGGATTCGTGTGGCAGGAAGTTGCACATTCTGGCCCGATTATATTATTCTGCCATTCTAAAAATATGCACCGCCAGCAACACTTAACCGCAGGAATGCGTTAAGCGAGACTTCCTACTCAACATTGGATGTACTCAAACTACTAATTTACGTCACGGATACCATAACCCGACGGTGCGAATATTTGATCACCTGGAAGGTTCAATTAATTTCGATGTGTCTCCGCGTGTCGCCGCTTATTTGCGCAAGGAGAACGATCCTTGCGTGTCCTTAAATTCTCCCTAATTAGGCGCCAGTAGCTTGAATTATGCTAATAGAACATCGTTTTACGTGCGAGCCGGTCAGTCCGGTTGAGATGACATTAGAGATGTTAGTGTACAAGGTTGATCGTTTGTTCTAATTAATATCCTGCGATACTTTCGCATTTTTTTTTTTTTTTTACAAAGCGAAGCAATATTTTTTCTTCACACAAAATTGCTGTTGTCACGCTTGACTGTGTGTTTCCATTGACAGGAACACGATCAATTAATATGTAACATAACACTTTGAAACCTGGCAACTGAAAATTTATAGAAAATATGTGTAATATAAAAACTAGTTGAAAAACATATGCATTATATTAAAAACACAATAAAAATAACTTGATGTCTCTATATCTTTATTGTATAAAATAATATTATTATGAAACATTATATGAAATAACATTATTATCTAATTTATCTAAAATATTGCTTCTTGCTTTCTATTCCGTTTAATTCATTTAATATGTTATTTTATGGGCTCCACATACGAGCTATACAAAAGTTTCTTCGAAATTTATATTCTAACTATGACCAATGACATTAACTACGGTGCATTAACTTTCATCTAAAGTATATGCGTATTTTAGGAAAATTTCCACCATGTAATGATAAAACTACGCCCTCTTATACAAAATTCTTATCATCGTGAAATGGAAACTTTGTTGTCGTATAACACTTTTTATTGCCTCGTAGAAGTCGAGCCATCGTCGACAAGAATCTTATATCGTCAACCAAAAAAGCATCGTGAACCTAAGAAGGAAAACGGGTGTAGAAATAACCTAATTTGATTCGTCGAAGATCAATAAACATAAACTTTGAATAAATAATAACAAACTTTGAAAAAATTTTTTTAAACTTTTTTTTTTAAACTTTTTTATATATGAATATTTTTATATATGAATTTTTATCTATAATATAAATTATAAATATTACATATTGTTTTTGGTAAAATATATTATTCTAATTTAAACTAATTATTAATAATAAATGTTAGAAATAAAATTTTTGTATATAAGTAAAAATAATAAATGCTAATAATATATGCGGGAATAACATTTGTTAAGCCTTCAATCTTATAATGATTAACAAATTTTTCACCTTTCTCTTTATCTTTATTTCTAATCTCATGTAAATTACGTCTATTAGAGTTGCATCATCATCTTATATCGATGAAAATCGAGACTTTCACGAATGAAAATGTGTATCCATTATTTTTCCTTTTCTAAGAAGAAATTATGTGATCGATCAGAACTGGCGGCACGATGAACGTGACATATGCCGGAACATATTACGAACAATTTCGCCCACGTTTGATATACGAGTTTGACATTGAGGCTGCAGCCGGACGGCCGCCTTAATGGCGCGGTAAATCACACGTCAATATATGTTAGTCGCGTTGCGCTTATGCCTTACCGTTAAAGATAGCAGCAAAAAGGGAAGGACGAGTGGTTGCATCTTGACAGATTTTCGCTCTTGCGACCTCAGTGTCGACGCATCTCGCAGCTTCCGGTGGGACGATATACTTCTCTCTCTCTCTCTCTCTCTCTGCACTCTCCTATTAGACGTGTAGTCTAATCTTTACGTGTCTAATCTTTATTCTTCATTTTTCACTGCACACTGTATTCATTATTAATATCAATTTCTTCAATAATCAAAATTAAATTTTGCAGGGTTTACTTTTTTATTAAAGAACGTACTAATATTAAATTTTTTTAATATTATATAAATATTTTAAATTGTAAATTATTTCTAAGATCTATAGATAATTTAAATGATAGATTTAATATTAGATTTTTTAAATTCATTTCTTATTTTAAAGTTAACGATAACAATAATTATTACACACACAGTAAATTTTTTTGATAAGTGAATAGATAATGATAGATTATATTTGTGAATTTATTTATGCAATCAAATCGCGAAATCTGCGATATAACCGAATAGTAAGTTATTCCAACGATATTTTGTACACAGTAACGATAAGAATATTATCATTGTAACATTCCACAGATAAAATTTTGCGAACATTGGCACGAATATCGAGGAATGCAATTACATCATCATCTCCGTAGAGCTCCGATAATTCGTAATATTACGAAAGTTTGATTGAAATTCTTGTAAATTCAACAGTGCATTTAATATTTCTGCTTAATAAAAAATATCTATTAAATGACAAATTTATGACAATACGTGACAATATTACTTGTCACGTGTCTCAATTTGTTTACAATTATTTTCTACTTATATCTTTGTGAATAATTATTTTAATGAAATGATAAAATTATTAATTGGCAAATGACAATATTTAGAAATAAAATGATACGATTTGTCATTTATTTAATTAATAATTTGCAAATTAATGACTGTTAATGACTTGTTTACACTTAAATGACATTTAACATTCATGCAAAATGTTGTAGCGTGACGCTGAAGAAGCTAGCCGAGGCGAAGGAAATTGGATATTAGAGAAGTCATCGGCTGGTATGCATGTGAGTGTATACGTACGTATAATGCTTTCATGCTCTAGTTGCTAGTGAGTGTTAGACAAGAACCTATATTACCCGTACGTCGACCTGTCGAAGGTGGAGTAGCCCGAAGCTAGAATTATTAACGGATTACATGTACCAGAGACATTTAGCGCATTTTGATATATACACTTGAGATATATTTTGAGATATATCGAAAATTGGAATAAAAATTATATGTCCCTTAATTTTTTCTTTTCTAAATAGATTCACGTTTCACATCTTCCGTCTCAAGACGTCAATCAATTTACCACGGTCGGTCCACGTCAGTCAATGAGCCGAATTAGAGGAATTTCAGATACGCGAATCGCAGATTACAAACTGATCGTAAATTTCAATTGCTCGCAACTGGGAAAGTCTGCCCCCGCGTAAATCTATGCACGCGTGTTGCGAGATAAATTGCCGACAAAGGCCGCGCAAAGTCGCGTCGCCAATTATACGAGTGCGCTTGCATAATCGAGTACGATAAATTTGCCGCGAGTCGAGTGCGCCGTGCCGGCCGAGAAGTACCAGAGAATTTTTGCAGAAAAGAGAGCTCGCAGACTCGGTGACCATTGCACGCACCATACGCTGCATATTCTGAAACGCGATAGTTCCCCGTGATAATGTCATTGCACCGGCGAACTGTCGTGCGAGCCCGACACATGTCGTTCGATGACGAACATATCCCGCAAACTCGAAAAAGAATTGCCGAGATTACTGACACCCGAAACGGGATCGCGGCGTACTCTATTTGCGTATACAAATGTATATGCGATCAATGCAAATTAGACAGCGTGATATATGATCATTAAATCGCATACGAATTGCTCATTAAGCTCACAATTATTACTGGTTCGAGTGTACCACGATTGCGTCGCGTAAAACCTGCGTGGCGAATAAGCTGCGAGTGCATGATAATTTTATTAACTTTTTAGACAGAATGTAAGACGTATGTAATCTCCATTTCTCAAGTTAAAAACTAGTTGTCGGCTAGATACAGTTGATAACTTTACGTATTAAAATATCGCGTAGTTTGTCCGGCGATTGCAGCTTGTTTTAATAACGCTATTGATTATTTTATTGATATTAATATTGCATATTATAATCTACGTACGATATTATTTACGACAAATAAAAATTACATTTATTAATTTTTTACATAATAATAAGCTTTCAATCAGAATTTATATAACCATTGTAAAAATTCTATTATTACGTTAGTTTTTATAATTATATAAATTTTTAATAATTAATTAAATTAAATTAAATTTAAAATAAATTTAAATTTAAATTAAAAATTAAAAAATTAATAATTAAATTAAATTTTTTATATGAATTAATTGTTGAATTCCCGACGAGGCGTTGTTATGAAATTTTTTACATGTATGTTGAAAATATCACGCATTCAGCATGTAAGGGCCCTTGTTATGAGGTTGGAAAATTGTTTGCGTTACGTTTCTGTATATTTCCTATCGAACCATTGTTTATTGGGACTCTTACTTTATTGCAGTAAATACACGTCGCATCGCGGCAAGATGGAGCATTTGAGGAAATCTTACGCAAGACATGGTGTACTGTTTATTTTTATGATTATCGAATCCCGTCAACATTGCCGCACTATTAATATACGTTTGCAAAAAGCGAATCTGTGAACAAGCCTGTGAACAAGGAGTCATTTTCGATCGAGTAGAATGTAACTAATCATAGCTTTGCGCACTGCATAATTTTGACCGCAGTTTCATATTACTGCGTTTGCAATTATATAGACTATGATAATTACAAGACCGAAAGTCGTCTCAACTCAAGTTGTAATCACCAAATTTGCTGCCAATAAATCTCATTTGAACTGACTATTAAAATATATAAGATATTTTTATGCGTTATTTTAATTTTTGCTTAATTTATTGTTAAATAAATTATTTCCTATTATTTACGAAAAGTTGATTATTAATAAAACTCTATTTATAAATTACATTTTATATAGTTACAATCGTATAATAATGTTATATATTTTTATAATTTCACATCTTTTTGTTAGAAGTATTATTATTAATTCTGTTTAGAAATAATATTAAAGGCTAATTACATTTTATATATTTTATACATTTTTGTTTAATTAATAATGAGGATTACATTAAATTGTGATCATTGTGATTGCTTGACTAACCTGTTGCACCGAGTTTGGGCTGTTTGTGAGAAACTGTTGACGGAGAATAAACACACTAACCAAACACGACAGCTAAAATCAACTCACACATTGATCACAGAATATGTCTCTTATTTGCAAGTTTGCAGAGCAAATTATTATCACATTGAAGAGATTCATCTCGATAAATCACATTATAATTACACAATTATTCTGATCATATAATATTTGACTTTCAAGCTAATTAATCTATCGCAAATTAATTCACCAACAAGTTGGTTCAATGCTGTCGATCGACAAGCAATATTCATCAATGTTAAAATTGCAAAATATCTTTATGATTTATAAGATGGTTGCATAGGAGTTTATGTGTTTCGTGGTGCTCCCTGATAAATAAATATCTTTTCGCTATTACCTCGCGTGTAAATCTAAACGTGTGTATTATAAAATGAGAAGTGCATATCGCAGGCTAGTGAGCAGACCGAGAACCGAGTTTCTCTGTTAGAGGTGTTGTTTCGTACTGACGGCTCCCGTCGGTGGAGGACCGATTTTATACGCCCGCGTGAAGTCACGGAACCGAGCTTTGGGCGCCTCTGCCATGGCGCGTCACCTGGCAACAAAATATGAAGACGTGATTTTAATAGATGCAAGTACGCTTTTCCTCACTTCGTGACGCGAATCCTTAAATAACATGGAGAAGAGTTTGACAGAAATTAATTAAAAGATCTGTCTGTTATCGATCCAATTGGAGAACGGCCAGAATGATTCCGTGAATTCGAAAATATCAAAAGAATGACTATCCCATACCTTTTAAGATATATATAGCTTTTTCTTATTGATAGCATATATAGTATGTAAACATATTCTAAATTAAATGAAATTTTTTTAAATAAACTATAATAAATTTCATTTATTATTCTAAAATTAAGAATCTTTTTGTATATAAATTTTTTTCAAGATACATTTAAAATAGATAAATAAATAAATTCTCAATCACAAATTTCAAAAATTTTGTTTTATAGAAATTTGTCTTGACACAAAAGTTGAATTAACTCTTTTATTGTTTGAAATACAATTTTATTGTATTACAATTTTATTGTTTGAAATACAAAGATAAATTTTAAAATATTTAATAAAATCAAGCTTTAATAAGTCGAATAGATTTAATCCAAAGATAAATGACAAGTAAGTAAGTAAATAAGTGATTTATACAGCATTACGTAAAGTTATAAGAGGCAAAGCTATTTAATTCATATTATTTTTAAATATAAATATCAGTTAAAATATCAACTAAAATATCAATAATAACGAAATCTCAAACAAAGGTGAGAACCTATGATAAAGGTTAAATCTATGGAAGGGATAATCCTATGGGAACTGTTCGATCTCCCTGTACTAAGAAAGAACAAAGATCATTTTTAGCGTATACGATCGATCGTGCATCTAATTGCTGCAAGATATAAGATTCACAATTAGATTACTATCCACCCAATAAGATTCATAATTGGTTAACTATTCACTATTAGAATTCTGTAAAGGATAAGCATTTTTTTATATACAAATATACTTGTTTATGCACTGCCGATTCTTGGAAACGTGCCTTGAAAGATTGGGAAACGCCGATCTACATTAAATCTCCATAAATCTGCATATATCATTTTCTAAATTACATCTAGATTCAGATGTCGGGGGAAATCTCAGTTAATTGTGAGAACCTAGTTAACGTACTTTCAACAATTTCAGGAGGAAGCGATGACAGCAGCTGACATTGATAATCGATGAGTGACTTTCGCCGCTGTAGTTTAACATCTCGTTCTCGCAGCCTAGACTTGTATTCGCATGCAAGATAGCCTGTAATTAGCGGTCGCTCCGGTGGCGATCTAATACATTTCCCCGAGTAAATTATCGAGTGGCGCTACGTATATAGAATTAGCCATGTCGGTCTGTCGACTGATATCGCTAAATTGCTGCGTTCCTAGAGCAAGAACGGAGAGCGTCCGGACTGCATCTTGCTCCTTGTATCGTTCATCAGCCTCCGCTTCAGCGTTCGCTCGCGAGGTATAAATAAATATACCTCGGGTCATCTTCTCAATCGCATCGTTCAAGTATGAGAAATAATTTTCGTGCGATAACAGAGCACTTTTTTCCCGCGAAATAATGATTCCCGTCTTGCAAAAATCCAAAATAGACAAACCGCAAATAAATGTTGGAAATTTAAAATTACAGTAAAATTAAATTTGATGTTTTAATTTAATTCAATTGTACGAATAAATCATAATATGAAACGCTGATAACGTATCAACAATATTTTATAAACGCCGTTTTTTGTAAATAATATGTTCTATATTATTTTGTATATTAACGCCAAAACCGTATTTAAAAGCGTCTAAAATTTTATTAGCAATAGAATACGAGAAAGAATCTACTTACAATATGTTTCGGAAATATTTAAATGTAATATTTAAATGTACATTCCGATAAAAACAAGTAATTAAAGGAAAGCAACACTGTGACTACGTATTTTATTAAAAGTAATAACGATTATGATAAAGTATCTGTTTAAGTAATTGATTATAGTTATTCTAGCGTAATGATGCTAATTAACGAGATTTAAATATTTATCAGATATACTCTCTCGACACATTCAAATGCCACGCAATGATTCGATGTAATACGGTGATTATAGCATGGCAAGTGGAGCTAATTGCACGACTCGTATAGCTACCTGCTTTTTTGCCTGCACTGCTCGCAGTGTCATTGACTCGATGACACCATTCATCGGGATCATTAACGTTGCGTCATAATTGGTCGATTCAGGCGATAACGATCGGGTATGTGCTTTCAGCACATTGAACAACGTATCTGCAAACGTAAATCGTCTCGATGCTTTGCGAACACGAGCTTTCGCCGCAACTCGTGGCATCTCGTGGTTGCCACGAGATTGCTTCAACTCGGCAGATCTCAACTCGTATATATTTTACCCATAAAACTCACAATGTTATTCGCTGGTTTACATCCCATAATCGTATCATCCCTACCAACTTCCCGGATCTTCCCGATTTTCCCTGGATCGTCGGACGAATCTTCCCGGGTTCCCGGGTATTATGTAACTTTGAGAAAAAAAATACGTAGACCTGATACGCTCCAATTTTTGCAAAGTGTCTCGGAGAGACTGCTATTTATTAACGCGCGGAAATAAACGAGCAATTCATCACCCTAATGGCATCTAGTACATTCATAACTTATCGGCAAAATCCGCTTCACCACCGCGCAATGAGCAATGGTTTAATATTAGGCGCTGATCTGCACGTTCGTGCATTCTGTTACGTAATTGGTGGAGAAGAGCAAAATTTTTTTCGCGAATTATTACGGCTGGCTTCATTGCGGGAACGCGAAAATTTCGCAACTACGCAACTACGATTAATCCTTAGATGCGCCGCGTTAAATGGCTTTTTAAATACTATAACATAGATATGCGCACCGCGCATGTTTTGATATCGTTTGGATTCGTTTCTGTATAAACCAATCTGGCATAATGGTGTCATAAATTAGCGGTGAGAAGCCTTAATCAAATTTTTCTTAAAATTTTACTTGCTATTAACACGGAGTTCTCGATCTTCAATTCTAGCTGCACCTATATTTACGATGTTCTTAGCTAAAGGTTTATACATATTAGACGATATTGCAAAATCCAACTAAAGGCTATAGTGCAAATAATTCAACTGCATGATAACCGCAATACATATATATATAAAGGTTGTGTTAATGTGCTATATAATAAATTGCAGAACTAGCATACAATAAACAAACCTAGCTAATTATTTTCTCAACTAAACTTAAAATACAATTTTTTTTCAATTTAATACCAATATACAACAATATCTATTCTTGATTAAATTTATTATGTTTATGTATGTATTAACATAAAATGATGAATATTTTAGAAAGTGCGTGCTGATTAAGAGAGATATAAAAAATGCATACATAATATATATGTATATTTAATAAATGCTAAAGTAATAATAAACACTTGAATATGTATATTTAATAAATACTAGATAACACGGAATTGAGATCTCGTATCAACGTGTTCTCGCATCGAATAGACTCGCAATGGTAACGATACGTCTTCATTCCGATCATTGATCGTGGCAGAATAAGGTCTCGGCGGCACAAAGTTTCTATCGCGCGAGAAATGCGATAATAAACGTCGTGGGAATTTATAATAGCACTCGTCAGAGCTGCACATGACGACATAACGCATTACCTATTTAGCATCGAGAAACGGTCACAGAGTATCACGAGAGAATTCTTTCGACGATCTGATCATTCAAAAACGATTTTTCATGACGGCGACCTAAAGCGATTGCCTTTTAATAAAACCGATGATTAGTCGATGAAGGTCCGCGACTTATGAGAATCATGCCTCGTGGTAATTTTACGTTATCGCTAATGCGACGGTATGCTGTGGTTAGCGTGCTATCGCTAGCTCCGTCCCCTTCTAGCTTTTTAAATACTACTAGACCTGTTTTCTTTTTCATCGTCCGCTTGGAGAATACGCTTATGATTCCATCAATGGAATGAGAAATTCCTTCGTTCTAATCTTAATCAGACGATTTAAAAAGCGGAGATTTGCTAATGGTATTCTTCTTCGAATGTTTGAAGAATTCTGGGTAATATAATACAAAATTAAGAAAATAGCTTGTTGTAATTAAAACAAAAAAAAACGTTATTTAGAAAATGAATGTAATTATCGCATGTGTAATACGTAACCGTTTAGGTTTTATGGATTTTAAATTTACTTTTATTTGTGATAAAAAATAATCCATTAGGCTCCAATAAGACTCTAATAAAATAATAAGTAAAACATATATGTAAATTATATAAAGAAGATTGCCAAGTATTAATTAAGTTTCTTGTTATATTTGGTTCTGATTTCTTGCAAATCTTATAAAAAAGTTAATTCCTTTCCAACTCTCTCTTCATACGTCTATTATTAATTCAAAATTCCTTCATAAAAATTTAGCTTCAGGAACTTACGATATGCCTAGTGAATTATGTATTCGAGTGCCACCGGCGCCGATATTTAAAGGCTGTTATCACAGATAGATTTACGCATAATTTCAGCATATAATTCTGCGTTTTTAACCAAGTAATGTGATCGGACCGTATGTCACTCTTAATCCGCCATGTCTTGGTAATGCCTTTTAATCGTACGATCTTACCTTACGATTTAACTCGCGTCGAAACGCTAATACTCTCTAAACAAGTATTTTTAGTAGACTCGCCTAGCATACATAGCATACTTTCCGCGATTATCCTAAAATATTGCGCGGCTTGATACTATCGCAATCGCTAATTAACGAACGGCAATGAAACGCACGCTTTGAAGCTATACCTCGCTAATGTTAGAGGAAACAAAATTATCTATTCTTTTCTAGGAAGAGTACAATCTTGCATCTTATCGAAATAAGATCATTGATACTACGAATTGCAGTAGCATGAAGCAAAACTGTTACACAACTGTAACAGCGTAATATATGTAAATTGATAATGGCTTTTAAAAGGGAACTAATACACTTTTTATCTT